ACCCACACTGCATCTGAAAGCATCGTTTAGTGTGGCAGCACCAAACTTTGGAACTCCCTGCCAATTGATCTCAGACATTTGCCTTCACTGTATTCCTTTTGGCACCTGCTGAAGTCATTCTTATTTAGACAGGTGATCTGAAAGTTTAGTCGTAGGAGAAAGTTTGTAGGAGTTTGTAGTCTATTTTATTGCAGCTTTATCCTGTACGTTTTTATTTGCAGTTGTAATTGCTTTAATGATAATTTTATCAGTCTATCAGGACTATCGTTTTCAAGGTAAATACTATGAAAAATAATAATATCATTTTGCAAATCACATTACAGTATATATACAAACTGCTTTTTAAATCCTATCCCATCCCATTCATTCTCACATAAGCTTTGAAAAGTAGGTCTCTATTATTCCCATTTCACAGATGGGGACACCTGATCATAGCCAAGCATGGGCTCAATATAAAACCATTTGTGGGACTGCAGCTACTTTCATTAAATAGTATGTTGTGTCCAGAGTTACGCAGGGCAGAACTTCATAAAAGTTGGGTTTGGCTTATTCCCCTTTACAGCGGTATCTCGGAAGTTGAAAGGAATCCTTTCCGGAAGTCCGTTCGACTTCCAAAACATTCGGAAACCAAGGCGCGGCTTCCGATTGGCTGCAGGAAGCTCCTGTAGCCAACCGTAAGCAGCAGAAGGCACATCACCGTTCAGGTTCCAAATAACATTCGCAAACCGGAACACTCACTTCCAGGTTTGCAGCGTTTGGGAGCCAAAATGTTCGACTTGCAAGGCATTCGCAAACCAAAGTACGACTGTATCTTTACAATCTGATACGTTCCTGAATATATGATCTGGAAGGTTGGAGAACCCTCCAGAACAACGTGGGAAGTGCCGCTGGAATCTGCAGGCAGGATTGGGAAGTGGCAAAAATTGCTGAGAGAATGGCTGCTTCTTGAAAATACTGACGTGTTGGACCTAGAAGGTTTTAACAACGTATTTGGGTGGCATGCATATTTGTGGTATGATAAGATTAAAGCACATAAAGCGTTTAAAAACCATATTGTCAGAAAAGCACTGTTTAATGTCTGGATAAGATATAAGGACTTGCTTGAAAATAAAACCCCAAGGTGGCTGTCACCAATGGAAGCGAAAGCTCAGAAAAAGCTCAATATGGAGGCCAATTGGCCGAAATATTGGGAAATTTTGGAACAAGAGGAGACAGATTAAAATTGCAGAGTTTTGAAAAACTAAAAAATAGAGTGCGAGATTGGCTCCATTATTACCAAATAATGGAGGCGTACAATTTGGATAAAAAAATTGGCTTCCAGGTGGAAAAATCAAAATTGGAAACAGAACTGTTAGCTCCCAAAACTAAGAACTTGTCAAGAATGTATAACTTGCTGTTGAAATGGAATACTCAGGATGAAACGGTGAAATCAACTATGATCAAATGGGCACAAGATGTAGGACATAATATTATGATGGCTGACTGGGAACAGTTATGGACCACAGGTATGAAGTTTACGGCATGTAATGCCCTAAGAGAGAATATAATGAAAATTATCTACAGGTGGTACATGACACCAGTCAAGCTTGCAAAAATATATCATTTGCCCGATAATAAATGTTGGAAATGTAAAGAGACTGAAGGCACATTTTCACCTTTGGTGGACATGCCCAAGGATTAAGACATTCTGGGAGATGATTTACAATGAAATGAAAAAGGTATTTAAATATACCTTTCTGAAGAAACCAGAGGCCTTTCTCCTGGGCATGGTCGGCCAATTGGTGCCAAAAAAGGATAGAACTTTTTTTAGGTATGCCACAACAGCAGCAAGAATACTCATCGCGAAGTATTGGAAGACACAAGATCTACCCACCCGGGAAGAATGGCAGATGAAGGTGATGGACTACATGGAACTGGCGGAAATGACTGGCAGAATCCGAGACCAGGGAGAAGAGTTGGTGGAAGAAGATTGGAAGAAATTTAAAGTTTATTTACAGAAACATTGTAAAATTAAGGAATGTTAGAAGGATGTTGGAATGAAATAATGCGGTTTTAGCAGAAATGCTATAAAGGATTAAGGAAAAATAGATGGCTAAATGGTGAAGGAGGGAAAGTAAAGTTACATTATATTAAGATAAAATAGAGAACAAAAACTGGAAAAGATGGAAAGGATTTGCTGAAATAGCTAATTGAACTAGAATACAAAAAAGGGAGGTGTGAAGAGGTCAAGGAAATAAGCAAATGAAAGATAAGATATGGGAAGATTCATTGTATTTTTTTTCTTTTTTTTCTTGTTTCTTTTTTTATTATTGTGATGTGAAGTTTTGTATTTCTTAAATATGCTGTTTTTTCTTTTTTTCTTTTTGTAACCCTTTAAAATTCAATAAATATTATTTATTTATTTTTTTAAAGGGAAGTGGCAAAAATTGCCTCCCAGCTCATAGGAATACCCAATTTGCATCACTTCCATGAATGGAAGGAGCCCTTACATTCACATAACAGCATGTCTGGACCCAACCCATTGATTCAAGACAGGCTGGAGGAGTATAAAAAAGGGCACAATATGGCCTTCATAAAGGTGAAATATTAGCTAAGAGGTTTGGACACCTGCTAGGTATAAAAACAATGACTAATCTAAAAAAAAAATAACTGCAGGAATATTAAGAGGCACTTGCAATTTCATATCATTTAATGTTGATGATTGAATTAAAATATAAATTGAGTCTCTCTCTCTCTCCTTCTGCCAAGAATGAGTCACATATAAACATAATGAAACCAGAAATGGAAAGAACTCTCCTACAATGTGAATGTGGGCGAGCTTTTCAAAAAACTTCTAATGAACATATTTTTAAAAATGTCTACACTAGCTGGCAAGATCAATATGAAGCAAACCGCATGATTTGTTTTTGTGCCTTCACCATAAGCAGGAGAGCAAGTCCTATAAATCAATGGTGACATTAATTTTTTAAACGCCTTTATTCCTATATGACTACATCAAAGAAAATGAAGGGGGGGGGAAATCCCAAACATTAAGTGACTCACAGTTACAAAAGGAAGGCAACAGTGAGTTAATCCCTTCACGTAGGATTAGCTAAGGGCAACCAGCTACCATTGTCCTTAAATAACCCTGTCATTTTCGGGGTTGCTGAATAGTGACTACAGCACGCTGACATGATAAATACACACTATTTTGAAATTATCAAAAAGCAGACATGTGGGGATGTGTCATGAACAGAGAAATCATGCCCGGGTGCCTTGTTTTCATTGTGTTAAGTAACACTCCAGCAAGGTTCACCCCTAGTGATGTCAGTTACTTCTACCCTGGTACAGTAATGCCATTATAGAGCGGCAGTAAACTATTACAGCCTTCAGTTTCAGCAGCAGACAAATTAGCAACTGCCCGTTTTCGGAACCTGCAACAGTTTTAAGGCACATGACTCCTGTTTTCCCAACAACAACTACCGAGCACGAGATTAGCAAAACCAACTTTACCAGATTATCTCCACCAGCTCCTTTGCATTCTTCCCTGGCTCTGCTTGAGGCGGTAGAGCAGGGTCACACACAGGTGATAGTGGAAAGGTTTCTAGGTAAAGTCCCAGCCTGGCCAATTTGTTGTTGTTGTTTAGTCGTTTAGTCGTGTCCGACTCTTCGTGGCCCCATGGACTCTTCGTGGCCCCATGGAGCACACCAGGCACTTCTGTTTTCCACTGCCTCCTGCAGTTTGGTCAAACTCATGCTGGTAGCTTCAAGAACACTGTCCCACCATCTCATCCTCTGCCGTCCCCTTCTCCTTGTGCCCTCCATCTTTCCCAACATCAGGGTCTTTTCCAGGGAGTCTTCTCTTCTCATGAGGTGGCCAAAGTACTGGAGCCTCAGCTTCACGATCTGTCCTTCCAGTGAGCACTCAGGGCTGATTTCCTTAAGAATGGATAGGTTTGATCTTCTTGCAGTCCATGGGACTCTCAAGAGTCTCCTCCAGCACCATAATTCAAAAGCATCAATTCTTCGGCGATCAGCCTTCTTTATGGTCCAGCTTTCACTTCCATACATCACTACTGGGAAAACCATAGCTTTTACTATACGGACCTTTGTTGGCCAATTAGCCCGATTAATCGTCTGCTCCATGGTGAGTAGTGGGGAAAACCATGTGCACATGAGGAGCACTGTTTCATTCCTCAAAATCCCACTGATAAGCATGTCCTGTTGGCTTTAGTATCACATCACAGGATTAAGATATCTGATGTTTCCCTACCGATGAAGAGGAAAATCCTATCGGTCCACAATCCATATCAGACGCAGTGCTGGATTAAACCCTGTGGAGGCTCCTAAGGGCCCACCACTCTAGTTGGGATAACATTGAACTAAGAAAGCTTGGTTGTAATTTTCTTTCAAGATCAAATCAATATTGTATTGATCTGTTGTCGTGGGGACCATAGGCTGGTGCCTGCTCTGGCTATTTGGTAATTCAGCACCGATCAGAAGTACAGAAGGATGCTGTACCAGTGTTGAGATACAGTGTTTGCATCAAAGCCCATGTCTCTTTGGAAAAGTAGTGCCAGCACAACTGAAACTCAAAATCAATTAGTACTCAAAGCCAGAATGGGTACGTAGCCCAGTTCTCTAGCTAACAAACTTGAATAATTTTTGTAATTCAAACCAGGATTTATTACAAATTAATGCCTGGTTTCTGTGCATGCATGTTCTGCATAACTAAGCATCAAACACCTCCATCTTTTGCACATGCTGAAATGTTGAGAACTGTAACCCCTGACTTGCTGAAGAAACTGTAAACGCAATGATTTTGCAACTCGTTTTAGGTGCTACATTCCACCCCCACCCCCCAGAACAAGCGTCCATACTTAAGCCTTGTTGCTCTTTCTTTACTCTCCTGCCCTACTTTCTGAGAACTTGGCTGGCATACAGCTGTTGCTTGGCATATGACTAGTTACAGGTAGGTAGCCATGTTGGTCTGCTGTAGTCGAAACAAAATAAAAAAAATCCTTCCAGTAGCACCTTAGAGACCAACTAAGTTTGTTATTGGTATGAGCTTTCATGTGTATGCACAAGAAGAAGTGTGCATGCACACGAAAGCTCATACCAATAACAAACTTAGTTGGTCTCTAAGGTGCTACTGGAAGGAATTTTTTTATTTTGTTTCACTTGGCATATGAGATTATCATTTGAGTTAATGTAATATCTGTAAGGTAAAGGTAAAGGGACTCCTGACCGTTAATTCCAGTCGTGAACGATTCTGGGGTTGCGGCGCTCAGCTCGCTTTACTGGTCGAGGGAGCCGACGTTTTGTCCACATACAGTTTTTCCGGGTCATGTGGCCAGCATGACTAAGCTGGTTCTGGCGAAACCAGAGCAGCGCACGGAAACACCGTTTACCTTCCCGCCAGAGCGGTACCTATTTCTCTACTTGCACTTGACGTGCTTTCGAACTGCTAGGTTGGCAGGAGCAAGGACCAAACAACGGGAGCTCACCCTGTCGCAGGGATTCGAACCGTTGACCTTCTGATCGGCAAGCCCAAGGCTCAGTGGTTTACACCACAGCGCCACCCGCGTCCCTAACATCTGTACTGATACCTGAATAAGTGGGTGATGCCAACTCCAGTGGCATCCTGGAGCTAACTAAAGCTACATTTAGCCATGGCTCACACTGCAAAGTGTATAGCTATAAATTCATGTTTGCTGCCAAATATTCTAACAGCATATTCATTTTAACTTATTACTAATTTAATGCTTCAGCACAACATAGCTAATTTTCCACCGCAATATTCTGCTCTTTGGAAGATAAAACATCTAATATTATAGCCCATATCATGGGCATCCCCTGCTATTCCAATATCTTGCTGGTATTCTTTCAAGCTTTTATTCTTGCTATGCCATATTTTGTGCATCAAATTTTTAGAAGTGCTGAGGAAACTAAAAATAGAATATTTTTGTAATACTTTCTTTACCATGCCATATCAGATTATTTTTCCCCCCAAAAGAGGAACAAGATGTGTATGTAAGCATGGACGTCAAAATAAAAACAAAAATGGAGTGGGGGAGGCCAAGGAGGAAAAATGGGAAGCTTCCTGCTACTGCACAGTGCATATGGCCTGAACAAAAATCTTATTTCCCTTTGCATGCAAAAGCTCAGGAGAGACCTTGCATGGATGCACATAGCAAGGAGAAAATGTCCTCCTGAAACCAGAAGGGTCTAAAAATCTGAAGCAGGAAAAATAGCAGAGGATATTCACTTTTCACCCTATCGGTTTTAAAAGTGCAACTACTCTCAAAGAATATGATAGGTTTGCAATCTCCATATGCATTGCTGCAGACTCAGAGATTACAGCCAACGTATTTATTGCAATGATTTCCATAGAAAAATTATGCAGTTTAACACAGCCTAGCTAATGATTGTTTAGGAAGCATTCTCACTTCCTAGGCCCATTCAGCTTTGCTGCTGCTGCACCTCTTCCTCTATCACAATCTTCTGCTGCGTTTCTTCATTACCATTTAATCATATCCTGGCCTTTCCAAGCTAGACCTGACCACTGGTTCACCTCTATTGCACTGTTGTAGAGTATCGTACGTATGTGATCTCTCTCCCTCCCTCCCCTCTAGAGGGTGATGGGCAAGAGGTTGCAATGGAGCAACAAAAAGGGAAATGTTCCATTATTTATGTGACAAATACTTGGAAAAGGACTATTGCATCACCTCTTAAATCACCTCTGCTTTAGGCTAAACATACACAACTTCTTCAACCTTTACTCATCAGGCTTGGTCTCCAGGCTTCTCACCCTGGGCATTTGTCATCCTCCTGACATGCCCTAGTTTGTTCTTGTACTTTTAAAGCTTTGATTCCCAGAACAGGACACAGTAAGGTAAGGTCTTCCCAAAGCAGAACAGAATGATACCATGACTTCTCATGATCCAGACACTATAATTCAGCTGTTTACGGCTGTGGTCCCATACCTGGAAGTCAGCCCTATTGAAGGAGATTTACTTCTGAGAAGGCATGTATAGGATTACGTTGTCAGCCTAATTAAGTTTGCAATCGAAACTTGCGTTTTCTCATTAACAAGTGCTACTGATTTCAACCGAGTTTATTTCCCTAGCTAGCGTATAGAGGATTGCACCCTGAAGAACTACCAGAATGTTTCATTTACCACCCGAACTTAAAAAAAAAAAAAAAATGCTGCTCCAAAACAAATTGCTTATTACTGTTAATTATGGCACCTACTTCCTCACACAGAAATAAGCACCAACAAAACTCTGCTCTGTGAAGCTTTTATAACATTTCTGTTTCAAAATCCTCTTTTCAAAATGCTAATTGATCCTCTAAATGAACTTTATTAATCATTGATGGAAAACTGGCAGCAACCTATTAGTGCCGGCTTTGGCAACCGCCTTAAAGTGTCCAATTAGGTCGAAGTGTCCAATCAAGAAATCTCTGGAAAGAAATTAGGGCAGAATCTTTAAGCCTAATTCGCTTCGGAGCAGGGTAGAAAAAGTAACACAGACAAATTCACATGATGTGTGGGTGGGGCGGAGAATTGTAGAAAACAGCGTCTGAGAGGTTAGGGTTTGGTGCTCCTGTTATGATACTGCACTTAATACAGTCAAACAATTACCCACTTGCCTGCTCACCTGGAGTGAGACGCAATTGACCCTTGAAGAATACTCCAGTGGCAAAGTCCAAATACATTCAGTTTCTTCCCCGTAAGAGCATCGTGCCTGTCTGTCATGCCTTCATTATGCTGTTAATGTTTCCAGTTTCCCCATATCAATGAAAGTAGTTAATTTTCTGCCAAATGAGCAGATGCAGTAACAATGCAATCCTATAACAGAAAGTACCACTAAGATCCATCTTTCTTACTCCCAGGCAAGTGTGTGTGTATAGGATTGCAGAGAAATTGAAAGCCTTAATATTTAAAAAATATACCTTCGCTATGTTTCATAACATAAACAATTATCCCATTTTAAAGCTCTATTTGTAGGTGTTGTGATGAGCTCTTTTTGGAGACATCAGCAATCATAACACAGTAGATCTTGCAAGCATTTTCTGCAAGTGATTCTGGCCTCAGTCCAATTTCAATAATAGTTGTTGTTTTAATTTGGAAACAACTGTTTCTAATGTATCATCAAGCTCCGAGCTCAAAAATCTGACAAGTCTGCTCCTTACTTTCACTTAGCCAGTTGCCCATATTTTATTTTCTACAATGTTTTTGTGCTTAATATGCCCCTCCCCAGGGACGTGTGTGGCGCTGTGGGTTAAACCACAGAGCCTAGGACTTCTGATCAGAAGGTCAGCGGTTCGAATCCTCGCGACGGGGTGAGCTCCCGTTGCTCGGTCCCTGCTCCTGCCAACCTAGCAGTTCAAAAGCATGTCAAAGTGCAAGTAGATAAATAGGTACCGCTCCGGCGGGAAGGTAAACGGTGTTTCCATGTGCTGCTCTGGTTCGCCAAAAGCGGCCACATGACCTGGAAGCTGTACGCCAGCTCCCTCGGCCAATAAAGCGAGATGAGTGCTGCAACCCCAGAGTCGGCCACGACTGGACCTAATGGTCAGGGGTCCCTTTACCTTTACCTTTTATGCCCCTCCCCAATTAAAAACACCTGTATGCCATTTAGCTTTTTCTTTTTTCGACTTCTTTAATACACAAGACGTTTTTGAAACTATAGTTCAGTATCGGTCAGTTGTTTTGCCGGGGAGGGGGGAACCAGCTGTAGAAAATTACTCATTGCCACTGAAATGTTGCTAAGATTTTTGCAGTACTCAGCTGACAGTTTTGTGACTGCAGAATCAAATATTTTACTTCTAGATTATCTGTAGTAGGCATGTACATATACATACCCTCCAACATTTCTCCGATGAAAATATGGATGTCATTATTATTATTATTATTATTATTCCATTTATACCCTGCCGATCTGACTGGGAAGCAAAATCTATCCTGTGTTGACATATTTAAAATGTAATTAATTCAAACATACAAGTTAAAAAACATATATAAAAACATAGTAAAACGTTAAGCTTTTTAAAAAAACCTTCCCTATAAAGGGATGGCTTGGGGGGTGGATAATTCTATACCCTTCTCCATTTCTCAGATGAAAATAGAGACATCCCAAGGAAAAGCAGGACATTTCAGGATCAAATCAGAAACCAGGACAGCTTCTGTAAATCTGGGACTGTCCCTGGAAAATAGGGACACTTGGACAGTCTGCATATGTAACCTTTGAGGCAATATATGACTTAAACTGCGGCATTCCGCATTCCACTGGGTTTATTCTATACCCTTGGCTTTTCAGCCTCAAGCAACCTGCTAAACCGAAGGCGTTATGAACAATCTGGCAGACTGCCACGCCAGGTTGTCATGTCATGTAGGTTACGTGTTTTGTAGGCCTGCTCCAAAGACATAATTTACTATAATTTAACTTGCAATGGCAAATGGGTCAACAGGGCTTTTGTTGCACACAGTTGACAATTTTATTAATTATAAGAATTAAAGCATTCAGAACAGGAAAAATTTGTGCGGTGTGGGGCTGAGACACAAATGTCTTGCTGTCCTTTCCAGATTTCCTGCCTCCGCGCTGTGGAAACCTTGGTTTGCCTGTACTAAAAAAAAAAAAAGGCAAAAAAAGAACACCCTCTTTTCGGCCATAGTGTCTCGTATCAATACTATCCGTAAATAATTATATAATATGAAACAATGTAAGTAGCAATTTATCCTTCAAACGCACAGGTGTTAGTGATAGGCTGCATTGTAACAGTTGCACAAAGGACCTCTGTAACGTTACGCCATTGACGAAGATCTAGAACGATGTCACAATTATATTGCACAGTGTAAAGTATTTTCCCATATGAGCGTGTAAGTGGAGCTGTTGTTTACCAGCAAAGAGAACCAGACATCTATGGGAAACTCACAAGCAGAAGACAAAAGGCAATATCTCTCTTTCCTGTTGCATCTTGGCAGTTTCTCTACAGAGGTATAAAGGCTTTTCAAGGTAACATATAGTTATCATGATTTGTAGCCATTAATAGGATTAACTTCCAGGAATTTATGTCTATTTTCCTGCTTGCAGGCGTCCTATAGGCATCTGGTTGGCCACTGAAAACAGGATGCCATTGGCAAGCAAAAAGCAGC